CATTCTGCTCTTGTTCTTGCCACCCCTCCCAGTACACAGTGGATCAGTTTGTAATCCCTTTATTGCTACTGTGGTTTTGCAGTGACAATGTGTGAGAGGACAAGCTGCTGCAAGCTTAAGGAAATGCTCGCTTGCTTTTGTTGGCGTTTGCATAGGCTGATGCCACTCCTGCGCCGCTTTTGCATCTTGCACTCCAAATGACACGTAACATGAGTGCGATGGACGAGATAAGATTTAACTGAGGGTGCAAAACTGATAAACCTGCTTATGTAGTTCGGAAAAACACTCTCCTTTTTTTTTTTTTTTTGTTAGAAGGAAAAAAAAAAGAAACCCAGTCCCTGCACCGGATTGAAGTTTCAGAACTACACAACAAACCACAAACGCATGATTGCGTTGGTTCAATTAGCTTCAGAGGTCAAACCCCTGCAGCCTTAGTCTTAGGTAAATAAATGCAATCAATGCAACTGGAGATCCCTTAATGCTGCCAGTGATGCGGCATAAACCGTCACAATTTACCCCATATCCAGCTGTCATTTCCGGGCACTGTGTATTTGCCTGTATCTTCCGCGCTCTCCTTCTCTCTGCAGCCATCTCAGCACACAGACAGGCCTGTGCATTGAGCACCAGCTTTAGATTACAAAGCACAGATCTGCCTGGGTACACATGGCAGTGAGCTGTCAAACAAGACATGCGGATTTCTCCCAGGCACAGCGGTGTTTGTTGAGCCAACGCTTTGGCAAACAGATGGAGAAGAAAGGACAACCAAGGAGGAAGGTATTGCAGGAGAACAGTCACTAGTGGTGCAATGAAACTTCCAAGTTCACTTTGTGGAAAGTTCTAGACAGAACAAGTTACAGTATTTCAGTATATTCCAAATTCTTCTTCAAAATGTGGGCGATACCATTAACATAATGACTCAGCAATCTGGCAGAGTGTGTACTGATGTCTCGTTGTTTTATAAGTTTCCAATGTTTTTTTTTTCCCCCCCAACATTTGTTTTCAGTAACTTTCACTGTCATACATACATGGTGTATGTATGCATTCCTGTAATTTACTTTTGAAGTAACTCCTGGAAAACCAATTCCAGTAATTTACTTTAAAAGTTGACCAGAATTTCTAGGAACTTGTTTTTGCACTGAGGTACGACGATGACAACGTGCATATCTGTTTCTTGGAATTTGAACCAAACAGTACAAGCTACATAAATGTTAATACTAAACCTGGAAACGGAAAGAAGTCGACTATTTGTGTAAACGTTACTGTCAGTTTGCACAAATAAAATGTATTTATGTTTTAAACACCTGGAACTATCACAATGGTTTTTGTACACATTTCTTGGAGGGTAGGTCATAAAAAAATAAAAATAAAAGTGGGATTTAATGACTAATAATGAACACTACTTCTATCTGAGAAGTAGTCCAGACCTTAGATTTACATACATGCCATTTTTATTTTCCCCGCAGTCAATGATCAAAAAATCATTGTAAGAAATAAATCACAAAAACCTACGCAGGCTATGTTTGGCTCTCAGTGTAGCCCCTTTTCATTTTAAGAGTCAACCTGACTGTGCTGTGGATAACAGAAGCTTTTGCTTCCAAGAAAAGGAGGTGCAAGTGACAGTAAAGCTTGATTCTGTGTAGCGGCGCGTCAGTCAGGGTGTGATGCTGTTGCTTCGTTGATCGGCGAGCTCGGGTTAGAAAAGAAAGCAACACTAGCCAGTTATTCCTGCTCACCTGCCGAGTGGCTTGACGCCACTGCAGTAACCATAAACAAGTGCAGTCAGAGAACGGGAACAAGCAGCGTTTATGAAATGCCATCACTGGAAAGTAATTTCATAGCAGACCATTTCGAATGGGTCATTAGTTCTGTTCCAACAGCAGCAGACAAGTTATGAGGCAACGTTTGTTTGTCTGATGTAAACTATTGATTGCAAAATTGTGTTTCTGTAATTGGGACCAAAGCGTGCGTTTAAATCAGGAAACTGAGCTTATTGGATTTTGGTTGCAGTTTGATTACATCATTTTTAAGAGCATGAGAAAGGAGGACAGACTGGGATAAGAACGGCGTGGGGAGAAAGAGAGCATTTTACACAAACTGATACATGAAACATAGAGAATATTTTTCAGCCAGCAGAGCATCAAAGCAACATGCAAAGGTGAACGTTTCACAAATTAAATCTACACCAAGCTATCATTTCTTTATACCAGTTGAGTCTATGTTAAAAACTACAACAATTTATGTATTTTAATCATAACATGTATAAGGTTGTCAACGAGTGAATAATAATTCGAACATTTTTTTTTTGCTAGACTAAGATGGAGTGCTTTGCATTGCAAACCTAAATTTCAATGTTTTGTTGCAATTTGATCCAAACAATTATCACAACATGCTACATATCTCTGAAGAGAAGTACATTTAAAAAAAAAAAATTTAGAAACTAAGACAAACATGCCATTTTTATTTCAACCCCCTAAATAAATCCAGCAAAATTAAATGCCTCAAGGTTCCCCCTCTGAGTCAATACTTTATGCAGCACATTTTTTGCTGGATTCTATTTAGGCCAGCGCAGTGGCAGCATCCTGTTGGCGCCATGGAGACGAGCTTTGTGGATTCTGTTTAAGGGTATCAAAGTAGAAGGAGCTCAACAAGATGCACACCACACTTTTCAGATATATTTGAAGCATCTTGGTGAAAGTTTTTTTGTGTGTGTGTGAACAATACAGGCAAAAACCAGTGATGCTATTCCACACTTCTTTCTCTCAGCATATCTAAACAGAGTGACAATCAAGATCAGATTAAATCTGAAGCAGCAACATCAATAATGTATATGTGTGTGTGTGTGTGAGTTTGCATGTGTGTATGCATTCCACTCGGTGTTTGTAATAAATCAGTCTAAAACTTTATATATATATATATATATATATATATATATATATATATATATATATATATATATAATATATATATATGGAGATCCCCTTTAGGATTACTATGCAGAGGACAGCAGTGAACGTTTACTACCTTGTCCCAGTGTAAACACAGAAAAAAACCCTGCAGGAAGAGGGAAGAGTGGAAAGTTTGTGAAGCTCATTAATATATGCAAAGCTGCTGCGTGAGAAAACTGAGCCGCTCTTGTCTGCTTAAAAAAATCCACCTGTTGCCACTATCATTCTATATAAAGCTAACAGACGGCAAAAACAATCAAATGCATGAATCATTTTGCTGTTTAACTTTGAGCAAAGATGAAACTGTTTTCTTTTGTTTTTGTTTTATTCTCATCAGTGGGGTTTAAACTTTTTAATTGGCCGAGAAACATCCGCGTTCGATCCCTAATTCTGGTGTAAACTGACCCGCTCTTGGCCCTCCAATCACCGGCAGGATTTGATGAAGTCACGTCGAACGCTGACTCAATAAATGGAAGTCTTTATGGCAGGTTATTATGGGGCACTTGATGCCACTTTGTGGAAGGTCAATGGCAGGGTTCGAACCAAAGCGTGCGGCGGCAGCTGTAATCACTCCACTCGATATGCTACAGTAATTGCCGAGCAGGGAAGCCATTTAGGTGAACAAACATTAGCCTCGGGGGGATATGGGAAGACCCGATTAAGTGGAAGTTGCCTGAGAGAAATGACAGAGACATTCGGGGGGCTGTTTCCCATCCCCATTAAAAGTAAAGAGACACTAAAGGATCAGACCATTAAACCTGTGCATGCTGAGTTTAGCTCAGAGTGGGAAACAGCAGCTTGCTATTAAAACAATAATGTTTATTTGCCCAAAAATGTGGTAAAAAAAAAATCCCCCCCAAACTTTTATTTTTGTACATATTTAGGCTTACTTTAAGTTTAAAGTTTTCAGCTTTATTTTTTTCTTCTTCTTCTTTTGGAAAAATCAATCGAATTAACGTACAGAACAACACGTCATGGTTGGCTTTCAGATGGAAAATGTTTCAGAAAATAAAATGAACCCTCTCAAAAACAAACCTTTGACGACTTCCCAAAAGTCACTCGGCAACTGATTAGTCAGTTTGACATTTTAATCTTGTTCACATGTTCGGGATCAAATTTCTTCAAATCTGATAGGCTGGATTGTTCCCCCTCTGGTGATGTCATCAACGCAGGGAAACACAAAGCGTATCTTGTAGATTTCTCTTCCTAAAAGTGGTTTTTATTATTAAATTACTATTATTTCACATTATTTCACAGTTTGAAAAAAAAATCAAGATATGCACCAACACATATTTAGTCATGTGTTTAGTAAATTATTTAATCATTGTGTATTTCTGTGCTGTACAGTTAGCCCCAAAATTAGTTATTCCACTGGTAAAGAAAATTGAAGGTGAAAGTTTTGAGTTTTTACCAGCATGTTTCTTCTGACTGGAAGTAACATTAACGCTTGAATTGGACGTGAAGTAAATATTTTCAAATCAAAGCTTTCCTGAGTTAATTTATCACATCATCACACATATTGGACCAACAGCTTAGGATTTGGATTGTGTCACTTTTGCTCCAAAATAGTATCAGGAACCTGATGTTGATCTGTATGTTATCCACTTATTTGTATTTTTTTTAAGTACACTTAATAATGATAGCCAACATCCTGGAGCTTTTTTTTTTTTTAAGCACTCAGCTTTAAAATAACACTTAACATTTTATGAATGAGTTCATGAATGACAGTGAGAGCCCCGGTTTCTTGTAAAGACCTGTGGCCTGTCTCGACAGATAAAACAGTTACACCACCTGACTTTCTCACCCTGCATTGCGTGTGCGAACCAGATTAGGAACCAAAAAGACTTGTTTTTTTGTTTGTTTGTTTGTTTTCTGTTAGAGGAACAGTAGTTACAACGTAATGAAGGTCAAGCCAAGTGGAGGAAGCGCAGCTCTCTGGCAAACAGCAGCTCTTTTGCCATTCAGAATGGCGGAAAGCTGCCGTTTCGTTTCACAGAGCAAATACAAGTTGACATAATTCCGTTTCTCCAGCCGAGTCCTTGTGTTTTGCCTTACCTGGCTCCGAGGTCCCCGAGCTCCGTTTACTGCTTCTCTCAATTTCCTTCCACGCAAGAGCAGCTGGACAGAGGACGACTTCTACCTTTCTGTGCTTCTGGAAAAGCTCCGAGCAAATTATTGCGCCTTTGCCCTCCATGGTGTTGTTAGTTGTAACAAAATTAAAAAAACAAACAAAAAAAAAACAAACACACACAAAAAAACACGCTCGTTCCAACTTTGTTACGACCTGCGTAACGAAGAGCGTCTGGCGTCTGTGTGTGTGTGTGTGTTTTTTTTTTTTTGGCGACTCGGGTTGCGAAGGAACCTGTTATCAGACAGGCGTCAACAAAGATCGTTGCGGAGAGATGACTCACTACGCGGTCCGCTTTTCTATTATGATCACTTTTCACGACGCGAATGTAAAGCTGCCTTGCAAACGATTTATGTTTTGTCTCGTTACAACTACTCTCTTGAAAGAATGTTGATTTTACAACTAATTTTCCGCGTTATCATCAAGTACACCTCTGCTTTAGTTTTGTCTTTGTGTTGTCTTATTTCAAGGTCTGGACAGAAAGTTTATGTGCAGCCACACTGACCAATCACGTTACTCCTTAGATGTGCGCATTTCTGGAACTTTCCACGGGAAAAAAAAGAGATTGTTTCTTCTTCTTTTGTTTTATTAGTTTAACAGAGAAAATGTGCAATTAAAAAAAAGTTACTTAAACATGCATTACATCAGGTTGAGTGTAGGCTAGTTTTTTTTTTCCACCTTTAGGGTTGAGGCATTAAAATTATTTAACACACCAAGTAAAAATGTTTTAAAGAAGTTTTAAAGCTATTGCTGAGGGAAGAAAAAAAGCAATAAGATGTGAAGTCTGGAATTTTCCATAAGCCATGTAAGAAGACACATTTTATTTATTTATTTATTTTATTTTATTTTTACCATAATCAAGAAGCTGATGTGTTTTCATGGGATAAAATTCTTGGACATTCCATCCCATTCTTGCACAGTTTGACGCAGAAATCAAAACAGGACGTAATATATTCAATCACTGTAAAACAATATCAAATCCAACATGTTCACTTCTAGTTCAAAAATGAAGGCGATCCTGCAAAAGCACTCTTGCAGCTCGCACAAGCGTCACGGTAATATAGGACAAAGTGAGTGCTCTTGTTTTTCCACATATCCATCCTCTATCAAATTGTCAATGTTGGGAAACTGACGTGTAATAGTGACTTAAAGGATTTTTATTTTGTTTTTAGGTTTACATTTAAAACCAACACATGAAATGTATATGAGCAAGAACGAAATATCAACCATTTTTGCTCTTGTCTGTGCTTTGAACAAACTTTATGAAATGTTTGTTCCTGATAATTCAATTATCAAATTAATCAATTAATTATTAGGAGTTAGAAAAGACAGTAAGGGATGGACTGCTTAATAAGCAGAAAAAAGTCATTTAATTTTTATATGTTTTTTACAACATTCAGAATAATGAGCCTTTTCTTAAACATTAAACATTTACAGGTGATTTTTTTAAGGACACACTGGTCCTCATGCTGGCTTACTCCACAGATATATTCATGCGTGGCTTCCTAATCGAGACCCTGCATGTAGTTTTAGTGAACATAACGTCACCAGTCCATTGAAATAATTAAACAGGCGAACTCACTTGTGATTGGCTGAGCAAAAGAAAGCGTCGCTCCAGCCAATCGCCTTCGCGCTTACTCGCCGATGCGGTAGTACCAACATGGCAGCTTTCTGAGTTTTGGAGGAGGAGAGCTGGTGTAAATACAGAGAAATTAAGCGTTTCTGAGACGAGGACAGGGTCAGGGGAACCTGAGCTCGAGACTTCTTGGATTGTCGGCGGAAAATGTCGAGCGACGGGAACAAGAAACAGTTCTGGAAAAGAAACACAGCCAAGGTTCCTGGCAGGTGAGTGACGTGTTCCCCCTTCTGCTGGCTAGCTTAGCAGAGCTAGCTTCTCTTAGTGGAGCTTCACACGCAGCTTTTAACTGAGGGCCTTCACGATGTGCACAAAGTTGACCGGTTTTGACTAAACTGACGTGGCACTGCTCATGTTACACTATTGCATTCTGTACCGCTTACATCTTCCTGCTTACAGCTGTCAAAGAGCTGCGATGCTAACAGGGGCTAGCACCTCTTAAATCTCCTCGAAGTAGGTTCAAAGTTGTATCTGTTGCTGCAGTCACAAACCGAATTATGAAAGGGTGTATTACTCTAGTAGTTTCCGTGTCCATAAACCGAAAACGCACCCTTTTGCACAGATTGAAGCAAGCATATTGAGCCTGAACGGATGAGTCCATTCATTTCCTTTTCTCTCTCTTTCTGATTTACTTCCTCAGTATTCAGCATGTTTACGGCGCACAGCATCCACCTTTTGACCCGCTTCTTCATGCCAAGTAAGTTCAGATTCTTTCATTGGTGCTAGAAAAATGACTTACAGTTTTTTTGGAGTTGTTCGGGCACTTTTTAATGTTTGTCATCTTCCATTTGCAAGTAAAAACTAAGCTCTGGTGGCCATCATCTATGTAAGCCAATGAACCTGTAGGACTATATATCCATTATCTATTAGACAGTCAATAGATAATTCTGGAAATTACTAAAATATAGTTTTGTTTGTGCTTGACTCTTTAAGTTTGTGGTAACAGGTTCAAGGTTCTGTTTTCTTTTTCTCCCAAATAATTTGCTTCATGTTTTGTAAAACTCAGACTGTGTTGAAAGGTTTTAGGGGTTTTATTTTGCTAAGATTATTCTTTAAATGACTAAATAAGAAAAGCGCTTTGTGTCCAAGACAGGATGACATTAGATTCATTGTAACTGTGAAACATCCCACCAGAGAACAATTTTTGGACTGTTAGCATTCTCTATCAAAGTAAACCTAATCTGGAATAAATCTGATTTCAAATTTCAAATCTTTACCTTCCAAGGATAGGACGTGGGTAAAAATGAAACAAAATCAAACACATTTTTTATATTTAACACTCTTTCAATTGAGTGGGACCTGTCTGGTTTGCATCTCCACATTGTATTAGGTTGATGCATTTCGTGGCCACTAATTCTAAAGTGTGCACAGTTTGGAGTGAGACTGATTGGCTCTGTCGAGTCAGGTAACTGGAGTCCATTCTGTTGCAACGACGACGACAAAAAATAACTAACCGAATGAAGCCACATGAAAAGAAAAAAGAGGAAGTACAAGAGCCTCTGTTATAGATCTTGAAAGAAACACTTGAAGCTAGATCTGCACAGAAACCAGAAAACATTTTGCTTTGTGGATAGTTCACTGTATTCTCCAGATTTTCGGATACAAGTGAGATTGTAAACAAATGGAAGTTTTTACATGTTTATTTTATTTTCCCTCAAACATTTTCAGATGTAGTCTTACAAGTTTACTAAAGTATTTGAGGTCAATGTGCAACTTTTGCCTCACTGTTTACCTGTGTTTCTACGCTCTTCATCACAGTTTTATTTACAAGACGGATACGTTTTTTTTTGTGGTTTTGTTCCAGGTTTTATACAATATTTTATTAAGTCTTTTCTGCTTTTTTCTTTTTTTCGTACACTAAAGCACAGCAGGGGAACTCACCAATGTTTGAATTTATAAACTGGTTTGATGTGTTTATTATGTTCTGCTTCATTACTCCTAATGCACTACCATTTCATATCGATAAGGACACAGTTTTTAATTGTTGTATATCAGTTCATTTCTTTAGATATTTAGATGAGTTATTGAATGAAATAATCTGGCGGAAATAAGTATGTAAATCTCTTGTATATTTGAATTTTTTTTAAATTATTTTTTTGTACAATAGATTGTACAATCCATTTTCATTGATTATGGCTCTGATCCTCATTTAGCCCAGATAAACCAAATAATCTCAGACTGGCTTCCTGTTGGCTGATATGATTGAAGTTTCACAACCAGATTTCCAATTAGTATTCAATAAGTAGATCAAGTCAAACTGCTTCAAATGGACCTCCTTGGTTTTAGATTGTTTTCCCATCCCAAAATGTGTTAGAACTTACTGGGATCCTTGATGACATCTCTGAAAATGATGCTAGCCACGCCCGGGTCAAGAATGTGAACCGGTTTGTTGAGCCAGTTGACATAAAGAAAAATTGGGATGACCTGGGCAAAACCTTAATCTATGTTAGAAATGTCACACTTCAGGTCCTGCAGGATAGCTCTGGTGCCCTATTGGCTAGAAATTGTTCTGAAGTCTCACTGGAACCAACTCTACAAGAAAGTCTTGTTGAACAAAACATTCCAGATTTATTTTTGGCACGTAGCATCTTGTTTTCTTTCATGTTGAGTGAAAACAATCTGTTACGTAATCTCTGACAGAGTGTGTAACTGTGTTATGGATATAGCTTACCTTCACAGGCATATTTATTACATGGAAGTAGTAAATATTAGAACATTCTAGCAGATGTTGGCACATATTTATTTCCCGAAGCTTTGATTTGTAGATGTCGTTCATTTTGGATACCAGCTTATCTTTTTAAACTGCTGACCCTTTGAATGTTTGTACTCATATTTGCAAATAGCACATTATATGTTTTATAGTTATAAAATATCAGTCTAATGTGGATTTTTTAAAAATATCAACAGCTACAAGTTTGAAAAATTTAAACTAATATTTGAAAAACAAAAGTAATGTCATTTACTGTTTTTGCTCATTCTTTTTTACAAAACAAACATTAGGAATGGCTTTGAAATCGCTCCTTTTTGCTACCGAATCAAATTGAATCACTGCAAAAAGTCAAACGATAAAGAAAAAAACGGAAGCAATTAAATGTTTATTTCCAATGACCGACAGACACAAAACCCCTGGCAAAAAACAGTCAATTATTCAGTAATTATAATCGTCTTTCTTCTCGTTGATGTTTAGTCATGTAGATTTCCACAGAGGAGTTGGCTTTAATTCGTTTTTATGTTTTGTGTCATTGTGTAGGTTCACACTTTTTCTGTCTTCCAATCACGGTGAAAGCAAGCCAGTGTGGGTGCATCTCTTTTTGTTCTTTATTATGATAATTGTTGTCTTTGTAAGAAGTCAGAGCAGATTCTTCTCTTCACACCGTCCTCCCAAGAGGAAGGCTAAGTTTAATTAAATCTCTTTTGCAAGGATTGTTTTCATTTGCAGCTACTTAAAGTAAGGAATGCAGTAAAAAATGTTTACCGTTTGCCATTCGGTGCCGGTCATGCACTTTTTAGTTTCAGTGTCTTAAGTTTAGTTAGGATTAAAAGTATAAGAATTCATATTCAGTGGATGGATAGCTGCTTCACTGTATTATATTTTAACTACATAAATATGATCGTAACCTTTGAATATTTCCCACTCCGTGTAGCTTTGGCCAGACTTTGAAAATGTTTGTCATCGTAATTTAGAGCAAGAAAACTCAGAATATAAACGAATCAAATATGGAAATTCTAGTTGTTTTTTTTTTTTTCTAATGAAAATAAATATTTTAACACTTTAATAACACAAAGCCCTTTGGAGCACGACTCCATATACAGATGATGTTGTGCTGAACTGAAGAGTACAATTACTGAATTGTAATATATCTTCGTATGAAAGACCTTTCTAATATTAATATAAACAGCAACTTCCACCGCTGCTGTTTTACAGCTACACGGCTGCCTGGCTTTTTTGTGTTTGAGAGAAACACGAGAGCAGATGCTTATTTGGATGAGACTAACAATACTGGTCAGAACCAGAGGAGAAATGATGCCTGCCTAAAGGCTGGTCGAGTTAAAGTTATGTCTCCATGTTTATTTCTCTCCCAACTGGGAAAAACCCTATAAATGTCTTCACCTTATGAACTTTTGTTTAAGCTGCATTCTCTTCTTTGTCTGCCATTTGCATGTTTTATTTAATGATATTCTACTTTTTTATATGCTTACTAATGTGATCAGCAAATCTGAATTCAGTCAAAAATATGCAATATTACTTTATAATTCTGAGGGCAATTATAAAGTGATTCCCCTCGGAAGTGTGAACTGTACACAGGTTTCATTTTTGGTTCGTTTTGGCCTTCGTGCCTCAAGCCAGTCGTTCAGCTTTACGAATGAAGAAGTGATTTTTAAAATACCATCAAACCAGGCAGTTAAGGAACTGAAAATCAAAACAACCCATTACCCATGCATGCAAAATACAATTTAACAGATTTGACGCTAACGATGGATAGAAAGCAGTTGAAATATCAGAAACCAAAATAATTCTTACATCAGGAACGTAGCACTTCTGAACACATTTTTGGCTTCCCACAAATAAATAAAAGTGATTTTTACCAACAATTGTCTGTATAAACTGAACACTCTGCAAATATGGATGTTCTGGATGTAGAGTCCCAGTTCAACATAATAAATAATAAAGTCAATGGCATGTGAGTGCAGTTAATTAGCAGGCAATGTTTGATCAGTACTACATGATCTTCATTAGCTTTGCGATAGCATAGCTCATTGTTCGGCCTCCAATGACACTCATGACCTAATCACAGAATAGTGAATAGTTGTTAGAGAAATCTTCTGATCTGCAGGATTTACTAGATTTTACGTTTACTGACTGCAAGGACTAATAAGATTGGTCAATTTTGTCATTACAGCTTCATAATAAAGTTTAATTTATAGAGCTTAATGGCATTTGTGGTGTATAATTAAATGATCATGCACATCATGAGTGTATGATTTACACTCATGCTGCTGTTGCGCAGCTCTCATGGTGATTCGTTTTTCTTCCCGTCTCACAAAGCAGTTTTTTTTTCTTTTGTTCTTTTTTTTAACATTTGTTTAAAAAAAAAAAAAGAGTGTAGAAGTGGTATTTGTGTTGCACAATTGTAATAAAATCAGGAACTGAAACAGACATGAAATAAGCTTGACCTACATTTAATTTCCTACTGGGTTTGGACTTATTTGGAAGTCCATGCTGCGTGTTTGTAATAATGTTCACAGGGTAAAACACAGCTACTAAAGCAAGTTCAACAGCAAACATTAACAGCAGATAAGGTCCTGAAATATACATTTCTAATGAATTGATGAAGTTCTTTAGTGCTAATTTAGCCCTTCCATTGGCTCCTTGTATAACATCCCAGTTGTTTGTTTTTTTTCCCTACTCTCTCTCCAACTTCTTGTCCCACCATCACCCACTCGTCCACTCCTGTGTGTCTCGCAGTCTAATCAAAGCAGGAAACAAACCCCCTCCGGCCACGCCGGGGAAGCCAAAGAAAGCCACCACCTTCCAGGAGTTCGAGAGCATCACCAGCGACGCCTGGGATGTCGGCGACGATGACGACGAGCTGCTGGCCATGGCCGCACAGAACCTCAACATTGAGGTGGTCATGGAGACGGCAAATAAGGTTGGACGGCGCTCACTAGATGCCGTTTCCCCCGCTTGGACCAAATACTTTGGTTTAGTTTGATGGTTTTGATCAGGTGTAGAGGATTTGACCGATCACATGCTATTGTAACAATCATGGCGATCCAGTAGGGAATTTGCATCTCCTTAAAAAGTTCTAAAGCATTAACATGTCTTAAATTATATAAAATAAAAAACGGCCTTAGATGCATTAATCACAGGTCTTAAATTTTGACCTGACAGCTGCATTTAATAGCGCCAATAAAACCCAAACGAAGGCTTTCCATCAGGCTAAAGGTTGAGTCGCCTGCAGACAACTTCTGTCCCCAAGATGGCAAAAGGTACCTCTAATTGGCTGCTGTTGCACCTCAGCTTGTCACCATAACAAATTCTACTGGACCATAAGTTGTTATTGCAATACACAATAGAGTTGTTTTGAGACCATTTCCAAATAATGCTATTGTAATGTCATAATTCTCACAGATCAATAAACTTTAAATTATAATGAACATTTAACCCAGGAACTAGAAAACATCTCAAATATCTGAAATAAACAAACACAATGGAAACGTTATATAAAATGAATTATGAATTCGGTGAGAAAAGGTGATAGATGAGGTCTGGCACTGTCTTAAATATTGAACAATTTTATTTAAGTTGTTACTGTGGAGGGAAAAAGGGACAATATCTGTTCCTGATCTCACAAGTAGCACTTGCTTTTGTACAGTCATGATACAGATCTGAAATTTCATACATTAGAATCTCAAAATATATCCATTTTTAAAGTGCTCTTATTTCCCCGGCCTTTTTTCGCTCCAAATCCGGACGCTCTTCAGCGTCGCTCGTTGCTTCTCTGTTATCTGCGCAGGTGATTGAGAATCACAGCAAGCAGCAGGAGAGACGGAGGCAAGACGACACGACAGAGCCGGGTCAGGGAGAGGAAGACGCACCGGAGGAGGAGGTGGCGGCGGAGGAGTTGGAGGAGGAAGAGGAAGATGAGTATCTCAGAGTGGAGGAAGTGGAGGCAATCAGCCCAGATGCGTCATTTGCCTCTCAGGGCAGCCCTTACGCTGATAGCCGTCTGGTGAAATCCCACAGTGAAGCTCCAATCGGGTCACCTAGAGGTGAGTGAACAACACACCCAATCTGCAAAAGGGTTCTTTTTTCACACTCACCTGTTTGAAATAATTTGGACAATAAAGTTAGAACTTAAATATACATATTTGTTAACAAACTAATAGATAGATGATACAAATGCACACTTAAAACAGGGTAAAAATATTTGTTTTTCCAGCAATTAAGGCATCCTTGGAAAATCTTAGATACATGTACATAATATGTACATTTACATAATACATTTGAGGCTACAGCTAACTCACTGCTAACATAACCTTGCTAGCTAGCTAGCTTTTTTGTGCCTGTCTTGGGTAAGTGCAAATTTATCAACTTTTATCTGGATGAAGTTTGAACATGTTTGTGGAGAAATAGATCTTGAATTTCATTCATAAGGGCCTTTAAAAAAAGTCTTAAATTTGAGTGGGTGAAACCTGCAAAAACACTTTAATGAATCCTGGATATCCTGAGGCAAACGGATATCCAAACCCTCTCCTGATTTCAACGTGCAGAAACATAATCAAATATATTAATGGAAATAAATTAAAAAGAAAAAGTAAAATTCTGCTCATGTCTGCTCTTCAGCAAGATAAAGGAGGCAGAATATGCCTTAATAGCCCATCTGTGTATTTCCTTCTACTAATTAGATAAATTGTTAAATTAATCTAAAAAACATGCGTTAAGGTAGGATATCTCTCAAATGACTCCCATCTCCCTGCCTTCTTTTGATCAGTTATCATTCGTTTTAACCAATAGCTTGGTTTAATCTCAAAAAGTATTGTTGCGTGACTCCAGGAGTGGCTGTGTCACCAGGCGGAATATTTTCCAAACGCCATATTTGTCTGGAGGAGGATATGAAGCCGGTTGGGGCGGCGGTGTGTCCGCCGTTGGCAGATGCAGATGTTCTGCCTGGTGAACATGGTGGCAGACAATTTGCCTGCCTGTCTGGGCGTCTGCTGTTCAGACTGTTTCTGCTGTTCAGAGACGGATCGCACAAGCAGCCCCTTTACCTTCCGGCTGTATAGACAGAGCTGGAGACATAAAGGGCTGCAAAAGCTACAGTGTTATTTTATTATTATGGACTGCTCTGCCCATAATTTGTCTGTTTTCCTTCCTCTCCTAATAGAAATGATTAATATAGTGCGCTGTGACAACATGTAAGCATTAGCTACGTTCTCCAGCCGTTTTTCATTAAAGAGAATTTTTAAGACTGTATAAAGGATTGTTAATTGGGCTCACTAAATTACAGAGAAACTGCTGCCTGCTTTATCTTTTTTAATTTTTCTAAGTGCAAATAAAGCACTTGAGAACAGATTTGTGGCCTTTTATTTGTTCCTGTAAAAAGCAAATAAGATATTAAAATCGGCTAGATGCCAGTCCTCCTAATTGCCATGATGTGTTTGTGTAACTCTGCCTGCAGTGGAAGTGTTGTGGTTTTGTTCCAGCTCTTGGCAGATTGTCTGTGTGTGAACTTCAGTAAGTGTGTATCCTGATGGCTTCTAATGTTAAAGTCCGGAACAATCTGGCTTGATTTTTGTCCTTTTGCGTACGTTTGACCTGTGTTTGAACATGCGATGCCTTGAAAACGGAATGAATGAACAATGGAAGATTAAATTTTTGAAAGTATGACGTCTTTTTACTAGATGCTTCTACATGCCACTCCTTGGATATAAACTATTTTGAATCTAAACCATAAACTCTGCAAAAGTTTTTCCAGTGCTTTGGAGATTTTCACATTTTATCATGTTGCAACTAAAACATCAATTTATTTTATTGGATAGACCAACATAAAGTATCACTTCAACATTGATTGTATTCATTGTACATTTGTTCTGATAGCACCAAAGAATTAGCAAAAAGGAAGTGAAAACAGGGTGGCCAAAATGTCGCATTTTTGGAATTTTGGCCAAAAATGCGACATGTCAGGAACAGCTTTATACATAGAAGGTATATGTTTTTGGAGGGTGCAATATATGGATGGATTGTAGCCCTCTTGATTTTTTTTTATTAATAAAGAAAAATGTTTATAATATGTAGGATTGCTACTTATTTTACCGGTTTTTATGATTATTCCGATACGGATCGATTAATCCGATTAACTGTTTCAACCTTACAAATATGTATTTTCACTCTTTGTGTTGGTTTATCACACAAAATCCCTGAAAAACGTAGCAGGTCGTAATGTGAAAAACTTAATCGAGGAAGAAAACAAGTCGTCGTGCAGCAATCTGCCGACTATAATTAAGTTCCACTTACAGCCGGCAAAAGGTGTCCCCATTGTCTGAAATGGCTTCGGGTTTACGTAACCGGTCTCTTTATCTCGTCTCCATCCCTCAACCAGATGCAGCGGGCGAGCGCGCCGGCCTCCACAGACAGAGGTCTCTGCCCCATCGGCCGCCCGTCATCCCATTAGTGGCTCGCATGGCTGACCAGAACACATCTGGCACCCCGGCCATGACCGAGAGGGAAGCATCCCGCCTGGATAAGTTCAAACAGTTGCTGGCGGGGCCCAACACAGATCTGGGTAAGCGATAGTCAAAGCCAGCAGCCTCCACTTATCTGTCAGAGTCTGCGTCGCAAGCTTTTCGGTCACCACAGCCATTCCGACTATCTCATTATTCCTCACTAATTGTCTGGTTTTTATCCTTGTCTTTACCTTTTTAAAAGCTCTCTCTCTCTCTCTCTCTTTCTCTCAAACACTTCTTCATTTCCTTGTACTCTTTTGCTTTTCACTCCGTCCACCAGCTGTGCTGAGCTATTAACGATGTAGCGTGTTGGTGGTGGTGTGGTGGAGGGGGGGGAGTCATCCAGCCATCTGGACATGCAGATTAGAAACACCAGCAACAACAAAAGCAAATGACAGGCCTTTGTTCTACCCAAACGACAGGCCTTTATTGTTTATCAAGCCCCAGAGACTTTCCTACCCCAGTGGCCTGGAAACTCCTCCAGATCTTTTCCTATTTACAGTTCACTTCATTTCCTTTGAAACAAACTTTGGACAACTAGAACAGTAGCTTGTTGCATGAGTCCTTCATTGATGATCGACATCATGATGACGTAGCCATCCTTACTGAAGTTTTAAGATCAAAATATTAAGCTTTTATCTCTTCTTTTTTGAGGAGCCACACTCTCAGAACCCTCCTCAAAACATGACTTTACTATCATTTTTCAATCTGACAAAAGATTCAAATTGTCATTTAATGCTGACTTTAACATGTTTTTGCGATTAGCGCTGTTTAAACTAAACCGATGTATTCTATGTGCATGTTGACAATGATGACCCTTAAATTAATTTTGAATTTTCCAAAAAGCCACCAACATTTCTAATTTTGTCTTGTTCTGTAATGAAGATTGAAATATCCAACAGAGCAAAGTTGCTCTAGTAAGTCTGGCCTTCCTGTTGTCTGCTGAAAGTCTTGCTCTCTCTCATTGTCTTGCAGCCCAAATGAACCTCAAAAAAACCTGTTGTAGGAAATGATTTACATTTTTCCTCTGACTTGGTATATAGACACTTTTATGCCATACTTTGCCTCCACCTTTCAGTTCTGCGTATCTATTGAAAAGGGAAGCTTTGAAATTTGAAGCTGATGAAAAGACATATATTGTAGATTACACAAATAAGGAAACCGTACATTTTAAGATAAAATAAAAAACTTATTTTGTTGGATTAGCATAGCATCAGCAAATGTGTTATTGAAAGCACACAAATTTGTTTTTTTCCACAAATCGATACCAGTTTCTATTGAGTCCCGAATTGCTTGATTTAGATTTGGACTTTCTTTTTATTTATTTATTTAAACACAGCAACTAAATATAACAAACACGGATCAAAGAAGAAAGCAAAATGTGGATTACTGAATGATGAACAACTGAACTCAAAAAGATGGAAAGATTCTCCCCCTTCATGGATTATATATGTTCTATAATATAACCTCTGTCTGACTTTTACTGTACTCAAAACAGAGGCTTTATTTTGCACATGCACATCTTTTAAGCGCTAGGGCTAGTAAGCAAACATAAAGTTCATAAAACTTACTCACAAACCCGGATTGGCCAATTTAACACAATATAACTCAACCCAGACCACATGATTTGTTTGAAACTGACTCGGTGATGAATTGTCAGAACTGAAAGCTTCACCCAAAAAGGTGTAAAGAGCAGATTTGCTACAGATTAGTTCAAACGGTTCTTCTTTTCTCTGCGTCCATTTTGGATTTAATGACTCGATAATTAACTTTTCTGGAATTCTTTCCCTATTAAATATTTATAAATTAATCTTACTAATTTTGACAGTGATACAAGAATATTATAAACTAAGTACACGATCATTTGTGGTGGAAAACATAGCTAAGAATTGTTCCGCTAACAAAAGGGTCAATGGTTTGTCTTTACCATTCTTCAGTTTCCCATTCCATTTGCTCATCCTCCATTCATCAGTCCTTTACACTTTTAAAGACTCTGCATACGATCTCAGCTTTGTTAAATTCTCTTCAGTAAATTTATTGTGAACCTTTGGATTTTTTTTAACTGGACGAAAATAGTTTGAGAACTTTAATTTGAGTCAATCAAAGAACAAATACAGAATTGTCTCATGAAAATCTTGTAGGAAACCTGAGAGGAACTGTTGTATGCTGCTGTTGCAGGGAAGATTTGACTGAAATCCAACATATTTTTTCCCCGTCTACATCATTGTCGCTCTACTTCCCAATGAGTGAACACACTACAAAAACTCATCCGTGTACAGTTGAACTAAACATCTGTTATTTTACATCCAGCTCACTATTTTGATCTCGGCTTGAGTACATGAAGAGTTGCTGCCAAACTTCCAAACCATGAACTCTAATTTTCCAAACCATGAAGGAACAGCCTTCCTTCCTCGTTGCGTGAGACTTTTCTTAGCGTTGCGAAAACGCTCATCCTCAGCGCTAGTCAACAGTGGTCATCGTCGGTTCAAGCAAAGTGCATCTGGTACATCAGCGGCCCGTCTTGAGACGTCAGCCTTCATTAGGGTCTGCCAGGCTTCACATGCTGACCGTCTAATTTTAGTTTGTCTCTGCGCCATGATTAGATGGCCCAGAACAGACGAGCCAGGCAGCCGGGCCGCTGGCAGCATGAAAGATGAACTTCATTCAGGGGACATAATTAAGTGAAGGATTGGAGGAGGGCGGCGCTGCAATGTGATCTGGTTGGTGGGGGGAGAGAGAGGAAGAGAAGGATGGGGGAAGATAAGATGGAATGAAACTTTAATGATCCCTTTGGGGAAATTGGGTCATGGGCAAGACCAAAGATCGGGTCAGAGATGGGAATTTAAACAGTCCAAAAAGTGATAATGCGACCCAGAGAGGGCACCGTTTTATTTGGTAAATGGTGCCGCTGCTTGCTTTGTGGTAAAATCAAAGAGGCACAAAGCTTTAAGAACAACATTCACATTTTCAAATCAAAGTTTCCGATTGCTGTAGGTGGTACACGAGCTCTCCCCTAAACATAAAACTTACTCACAGACCTTCTCAGCAGGGACTGTCCTTGCTCAAAGGACGAGGGCTGGAAAGATCCATTAGCCGTTTTCTTTTTCGGAGAGGTGTAATTAATTACACAAGGAGCAATGTTTGTGGACCAGAGCCCTCACACTGATTGGCTGTACAAGCATTCAGATCCGTATCAGTGCCTGTCAGATTTCCTTCCCGTCTTTTGCTGTGGCACCATCATGCTGTCTCTCCATTGAGCCTTGCAACAGGTTGTGACAGCAGTCTGTTTAGCATGTAAGGTCATTTAAAAAGGTGATGACCCGAACGCGTGCGTGAGAGGAGGGTGATTGATGTCAGGTTGATCTCTGCTAATTATTCATGATATCCCGAGGCGAGCGTGTCTGTTGAGCGAAGCCGAACGGGTCGCCCGCTAAGTGGGGAGAGGCAGGGATGTGGACATCAGCTGGGTTGACAGAAATACTTAAAGAAATAAAAAACCCACCAACTGCAACATGCTCTGCTAAAAGTTTTTTTTTTTTGCGATTGACCAACACAAACGTAATTCTTTTTCTCAAAGAAATGTGTGTTTTTTGCGTTCACCCTGGATTGTTCCAACACGAGAATAGCAACCTAAATAATTTCATTGTTCATTTGTGTTTGTGAGTGTTGGCTTGGTGAGAGGTGGATTTCTGTTCACACCAGTCCTGTTTACTCCTCTTTAAGCGAACTCTTGTCCATTTGTATCCGATTTGTTTGAGGAGATGTGAACGCACTATCCAACTCTGATGTCGACCAAAAAAAAAAACATAAATGCTGACCAACCTACAAGGGCTGTCACAGTAACAAATTTTGCTGGAAGATAAACTGTCCAAGAACTTACTGCAATAAACGATAATGTTGTTTTGAGACAATTTTTAAGTAATGTAGTTGCAATAATGGAAGAATAACACTAGAACACATTCTCAAAGATCAATAAACTTCAAATTCTGTTCAGCATTTAAACATTGAAACAGGAAGTCATCTTAAATATCCAAAATAAAAAAACAGAGCAACAAAAACAACAAATAAAATGAATTCTGAAATGTCTGTCTTTCAAAAAAGGGATAATTGATTCATTATTGCAACAGGCCTAGGTCTTGGTTCAGTTGAAGTGAACGTTTGTGCGGTTCGAATGCATATGTGGATCCAACGTGGATGGTAGACTTCTCCCAAAATTAGTGGACAATAGCGCAGGGAACTCTGGGTAAATACAAACAAAACAAATTGCTAGTATAATACTATTTAGAAAAATAGTATTGTAAAAGATGAGAGAAATTCTACAATCTGACACTACTCCATTTCTGTTTTTTAAGTAATAGGAAGTTGTGCAGAAGTTCTCATGATGTCTCCATCAATCTTCGTCTTTGTTTGACTGTTCAGTGTGTGAAAGCAAACCTCAACAGCTTAAAATGTGGCAAATGTTGAAGTTTTGGTCCCCAAACAAACCAATCTTCTAGACTATCAGGTGAGAAAATATGAAAAAGTCCAGAATGGTTTTATTTCAGGTTTGGAAATGTCTCTTCCTTTTGATCCATTGGTGCCGTTGGTCAATTTTCCACCTGAGCTTTGGATCCATACAACTCCTCCAGCATCGTCATGAGCCTTTTGGGCATTGAGTTTAACCTCCAGTCTGTAGGATCTTGAGATATTGCTTTGTAACCTACTTTAAATTACATATTTCGGTAGTACAGAGGAAATAAGCAGTTTTTTAATTGAACACAAGTGCCAATGCAGTTACATAAGAAAGTAAAGCGTCATATTTTAAGCAGAGATGCTTTTACCTTGGTGTGGATTTCTGTCCAGTACAAGTCTTCACCTTTTTGTGTGTGATTTTTTTATTTTTTTTACCAAGATTATGCATGTGTACCTTTCTTTTTTGTTTGATCGATTCGAAGAACATCTGACATCCAGCCTTTAAAGCCGGATGGCAAAGATGCTGCTGTTGCCATAGCGATGGTCTGCTCTCTTCTCGCCTTGCAATTTATTTCCTCCCTCTCCTACACTTTGTCCTTTTGATCAG